TTAAGCAGGCCATTTGTCACCCATGGAGCAATTTTAACATTTTTTCTTCTATTTAGGCGCCTTTCGGTACATAATGCAAGCCTCTCTTGAATTATATTAAGAAATTTGTTCGTTGCAGTATCTGGATCGTCTGAATTATATACAGGGAGCCAACACATATTTTGAAATATATTATTTAGTTTATTTGTGTTAATAAAAGTTGAATAGGTATCTTTATGTTTTTTAAATTCTGTTTTTTTTTCCTAACATGACTTGCAGAATTGTAGTGAAATGATCTGTTATTTGGCTTTTAAGAACTAAAGGAATTATTTTATCACTGACGTAGTTGTTTGATCGAAGAAAAATATGATCCAAACATGATTTACTATTACCTTGGACTCTAGTGGCTTCATTTATAGTAGAATTGTATCCAAATTCAGTAAGTGTGTTTAGATATTCTACGCAAGTATTTTCCTCTGGTGATAACAAGTCAATGTTTATATCACCCATAAAGATGCTAATTTCGTCATCGCCTTTATGATGAGCGTCATCTTCGAGAAATCTATACAGGGTGTTAAAAAAAAAGTGTCACAAAATAAAACGGGGGGTAGTATGGGCCAAAATATGCAGAAAAGTCTTAATAAACATATGTCCGCAAATGAATGGTTTCAGAGATACGGAGTGTTTTGTGTTTTGTATCATTTTTTGATTATCTTTTTTCATTCTCAAAAACTTGCTTTTCTTATCGGAGTCTACCGATGTTTTTTCATAGATACTATTTGCAGTTATTATTTTGTTGTGGGTGAATAATTTTATAAATTTTCGTTATGCCTGTTTACACTAATATTGAATTAGCTGACATGCATTTTATGTACGGTCGTGCAAATGGCAATGCATTGAAATGGAGGGAGGGCACTTTGAACATCTCATTTAACTCTATGTTGTTATTGATTGTTTATAAATATCATTGATTTTTTATAATAATAAAAAATTGTTATAAACACAAAATGGTCCGTATCTCCGAAACCGTTAATTTGCGGTCATATATTTATTAAGACTTTTCTGCTTATTTTGGGTCATACTATTCACCATTTCATTTTGTGACACTTTTTTTTTTAACACCCTGTATAAACCTTCATTAAAATCATGCAAATTTGAACTAGGTGGCCTGTAAAATGATGTAATTTTAATTATGTTTTTTTCACCTAATTTGAGCCTTATATTAAGCGCCTTTATATTGTTAAAGATTTCAACTGTGGTATAACTAAATTTTAATGACGTTTTAATATAAGCCGCAACTCCATCATTTTGGTTATGATAGCTCTCATTATATATAAAGTTATATCCATTGATGTGAAATAGATCAACGTCGATAATTTTCCAGGTTTCACTTAATATTATACAATCAAAGTCTGATTATAAACTTTGAAGAAGTATTTTAAATTCATCAATGTTTTTATTGATACTCCGAATGTTCATCTGTAATATTTTAAAATTATTATTTTGCTCGTTTATCTTTAGAATTTGTGAACACTCATCAACTGTATCAATTGTAAAAGTCTGAGTTGTTTCGACATCAAAGTCTCGCAAGTATTGATCCATTGATTAAAAGCAATATTCCAAAAAAATTTCAAATTTTTTTTGTTAAAATAGAAATTATTTAAAAACTTGTATATATTAAAACATAATTAACTATCTGATAAGATAAACTAAAACTTGAATGTGCAGAATACCTTTAGGTATTATAAATATTAATTATATATAGTATATGGGCTTAAACTTAGGTATAAAATAATAAATACAGTGGTTGTTGATTGAGACAATAAAAGTATAAAAATGTTCTTCGGTATAATTTATTTATTAGAATTATTACGTAATTTAATTTTCTCCTTCAGGGTTGCTCTCGTGATAACTTGGTTATTTGTTGGAGTTCCTTTTGATTCACTATTCTTCTCTTTAACAAGTTCGCTAGGCTTCTTGATTTCTTTGATTTGGATGGTTTGTTTATTTATGTCGGTTTTGGTAGTTATTTCTGCTCGATGCGTTGGCGTGGTTGGAGCGCTGTGCACTGTATTCTCGAGAGGAGTTTTATTTAAATCTTCTGTAGTATATCTGTTATTGCCTATATATAATTTATTTCCACGGATGAACGACATCTTTACTTACTCCTAGTTCCCTTCCAATTCGTCTGGTGCTTAATTCTGGATCTTCTTCAACACGTTCTAAAATGTCTTCTTCAACTTCAGGAATCCTTACAAAACGTTCTCTTCCATTATCAACCGTGTTGGGAGCAAAGGAACCGGTCTCCCGAAGACGTCTCTCAACAGTAGCAAAAGTTGGGTGGCTAGGTACACGACGATTTGGAAACCTTTCAGAGTACACTCTGACACTCTCTCGAGCATTTTCTTCACAAAATTCTAATGTCAGTAACATATCGGTATATTCTGCATTGGTATATTGTGCAGCCATATTAATAAACCACGCATTTGTTTTTTTAATTATTGAGTCAGATAAAACACTTTCAATCGTTAATAAGAGATTAGGTGTTAAAACTTGACAATATTTTTATTTAGATGAAACTATGGAAACCAACAATAATTTTTTTTTGTATACGTATTGCAGACAAATAATTAATATTCCTCAAAAAATCGTACATGGCAAGAATCGAGTATTTTTGGTAAAAGTCTCGATTAGAGGTGTTGAAGAAGATATGAAAAAAGTACATTTTTCTGTTTTTCATCGTATAAAATTTTGTCCGATAATACATAGGCGTAGAACTTGATTTTTTAAATAAATGCACCTTTAAACATTCTACGCCAATGGCAAAAAAGGGGTTTGAGTATGAAATTTGGATTGGGTACTCATTTACTACAAAAAAGTACCCTTGATAACACTCGATTTACTCTCATGGTTTTGACAAAGTTTGTATTTTAATAATTATTGTTCATGTTCTAAAATTACTAAAATGCAAATTTCGTCAAAACCATGAGAGTAATCGAGTCTTATCAAGAGTACCTTTTTTAAAGTAAATGAGTTGCGCAATCTAAATTTTATACTCAAACTCCCTTTCTTCCATTGGCGTAGAATTTTTGAAGGGGCAATTATTTAAAAAATCAAGTTCTACGCCTATGTATTATTATCGGACAAAATTTTATCACCCATTTTTTTGCCATATAAAACTCTACCAATATACCAAATTTTAGCAAAATCGCATATGGCGTTTTAAATTTATATGGGAAAAACGATTTAAAAATTAAAACTTCAAGGCCCTCTGGAGCCCAAACGAAGCAACTTTGTTCTGAGGTAATTTTACTTAAATCAACTTATTTTGGTCTAAGCAATATGTGGTATGTTTTTGTAAAGACCTTGTATATCCCCTGTATATCCCAAATTTTTTCTAAAACGATTGGTGGTTTAGGACTGATGATTTTTGTCCAGGTAGAACTAACTATACCGCGACGCACTATGCGGTGATGCAAACACAGGCTAGTCTTTGTACTTTTGAGATATTAGCTCTCGTAGTAGCTAAACTAGTTCTGTTACTCCGGGCTATAGCCCCGTGATGATTGGCCTCGCTATTGTAGTATACTATGTAATGAAGTCAATTTTCGTTTATATATTTTTTAACTAATTCCGGGTATTAATTTCAATTTTTACTTAATTTTAACTTCGTGGATATACTCTGTATATCAGCTTGTCGCTGTTCAGACAAAATCGTCCAGATACTCTGCGTGCGCGAGTTGCTATGGTGGGATTTTCTGTTAGTGGTAGGGCTATCGACGGTTGAACGATGTCCGAGATTCAATTAAAAATTTTGGTTCCTAATACACCGATTTATCGAACAGCCGAAATTAGAAAAAATATTTAGACTTTGAAATCCACGATTCCGATATTGCTCGCGAGAGATACAATTTTAAACCGATATAAATTTCTAGCTGCGATCTTGACGATAGGTAAATTGTTGTCATTGTTTTATGAATTGTTTTTTTTTCGCTCGAGACTTTAAGCCGTGCTATTGGAAACCATTTTATTTTGATTTATTTTTAATTAATATTATTCCATGTTCAGTTAAAAATTGAAATTTGGATGTGATGTTTTCTACTTCTCTGTATGCAAATGCTCTTTTGACAGATTCGTGTGGAGTATTGTCAAATGCTCTTCCTATGTTTAGGAAGGCACACATGACAGCAACTTTGTTCGTCAGTGCCTCCTGGATTACGTCAGTCAGCTGTATCAGCACGATTTCTGTAGATCTTCCTACTCGGTACGCGTGCTTACTGTGGTGGAGTGGCACCTTCTCCAGGACTTCCGTTCTGATATAATTACCAACAGCCTTCTCCATTGTTTTCAATACAAAGGATGTGAGGCTGTTTGGTCGGAAGGATTTAGGATGTGTGGTATCCTTTTTCCTACTTTCGAAATAGTGACTCTGGCCCTTCCCTATGCTTCTGGTATGTATCCCAGTTCCAGACTGCTCTGGGGTAGCCAGATTATGTATGGTAGCAATTCTTCCTGTGTCCGCTGAAGCAGGGCGGGAAATATTCCATCCACACCTGGAGACTTAAATGGTTAAAAAGTATTTACTGTCCACTTTAACCGTTTTTTTGCTGCATATGTGTTTGGCCACTACAGCGACCTCTCTTGGGAGTTGTGCCTCTTATTAGAAAAGCATACACAATATAACCTGACATCAACAAATGTTAACAAACAAATGCCACAAAGCGCGCGAAATTCCTTCCAAGGAGAAGCGCGCCGTTGTCAGTTCATTTTGATGTGTTCCCAGAAGGGGCATTCATGAATGTAGTGAAGCGGTACAGCGTTTTAGAATCGTTAGTAACTTTTTGATCACAAAATGCTATAGAGGGATAATAATAAACGAGTTTTCCATATGGCGCCAAACTTATAAAGACGTACGTATCTACCAAAACAATTTTCTGATTTAGATGTTGCATCATCTACTATATTTTTACAAAGGTACTAATCTTTTTTCTTATTGTATTAATTATTATTATTTATTTTAGGCTAACATTTATAATCAATGAGATAAAATCTACAGAAAATAAATACGTAGAAGATATGGCCAAAGTAGTAGAGGTAAACTGTAAGAAAATTATGTACCTATTTTTTATATTTAGATATTAATTATTAGACCTAGGAATATATGCACCCAAAAAGTAGTTAAATATGCGCATATATATGCCGCAAAATACTTCAATATATGCGTAAAAAATTGAAAAATATGCAGAGCATATGCAATAAGAGTAATTTGTTATTTGATCAAAATAGTTTATTAATATTTATTATTTGTTTTATTTTACAATACCTAATATAACACTTAATAATTATTAACTAATTTTATTTACAAATCAACATTATTATAAAACGAATGAACAATTAGATGTTTTTCTAAATTATCTGTATTAACCCAGTCAGCACCAGATAATCTAGAAAATTTCTTGGGATAATCTTTTAGGAATAATGGAATATTCCTGGGATATGCGCCAGAGATATACATATGATATTAATATTCCTGGAATGTGCGAATGGGAATATGTGGATGATCCATAGAATAATCCACAGAAATATTCCTGGAACATGCTAGAAATAATCCTGGAATAATCGAAGAATATTCCTAGTGGAACATACTTAGATCATTTTTACTATTATTCCAGGAATATCTAGGATATTCGTGGAATAATCTTAGAAAATTTATAAAGAATATACTTACAATATTACTTATGTTTATTCCTGGAATATTTGGCATATTCTTATATTATACAGGGGATATTCTTGGTGGATTATGTCAGAACTACTCTTTGGGATTATTCCTAGAATATTCCAGACATATCTAGAACATCCTCATTTTCAGAATAGAATATTCTGGAATTGACATCCTGGATTATTCCAAGAATATTCTATTTGTATTTCAGAGAAATGGCTTGCTGGCAAATTCTACAACTGAATATATCAGTATTAAACTGTACAAAAATAACAAACATGTTAAGGTTATTGTCACATAAATAAAATATTATTCATTCTAAATGAGTGATATCTCATGTTCTATGAAAATTTAGTACTAATTAATGGCACCGAAACATGAACAGTGGTAAGATCTAATAAAAAGAAAAAATCAGTTGTCAGATATCAGTAAAAAAAGTATGTACAGTTTAATCCTAATTGATAACATTCAATACAATTTGTTAAGTTGTTCCTGTTGATTTTTATAAATGGGATTTGTATTAGGAGTAGTAAAACATTCTAACTATGTACTTATACCTATATATATATATATATATTAACACAAAATAAAAAAACTAATTTCCAAAAATAAAACAAAATTTAAAAAAAAAAAACAAAATATAAATTCATTTCCATTTCTAAAAAAAAAAAAAATAATTAGAAGAAATCAGAGCAGAAAATATTTTATTTAATTTGTAATTTTAAAATTATACTAAAGCCTAATTTCCCGTTACCGGAGGGGCTAGCGGCGAGAGTAGTGATGGGCATTTACGCTCTCGCAGTTAAGCAGTGATCTCTCCGGTCACGGTTTGGATGGGTGACCGAACTCGTAGAGTGCGGGGCCCATCCAAACGGTGGAATGAATGGGAGAATAAATGAGAAGATTGAATGGGAAGGAGTAGGGCATCCAAATGGTGGTACAATAAGCCCGTGAGGCTTCAGTGCCACCATGCGAACCCCAAGAGGGAAAAAGCAGATTGGAACCCAATCTTGCTTGGGGGAGCCCCCGGTCTGGAACCAAGCCTGATTGGGGGGATAAGCTGAAACCCCTCAAGGGGGGAGCAGCGGGATGCCTGAAAGGGTGAAAAAAAAAAGAAAAAAAAAATTCCCGTTGTTTTCATTAAAGTACTTGTACTTGTCTATTACAAATTTTAAGTATTTAAATACTACTGTTTTATTTAAAAATGAAACATACTGATTAACAATGTTTATAAATATGTTTATAAACGTTGTTAATCAGTGCTTGTACTGCATATCAGTAAGTGCACTGTGTACTACCACTTACAGTTCTGTAACTGACTGGAAAGCAGTACTGCACTATCCTCATGGTAAATAGCTGTTCACCGAATGGTTTTATATGCTACAAAATGTTTTATAAAAGTGTCTTAGTAAATCCACTTGTATATAGTTTTAGTGATCTACAGGAATATTGGACACAGCCTCATATCAATTAAGTTTTTTACTTTTAAATGTAAATATTTCACACAGAAAACCCAATAAATTATAAAGACTGTGGGTTCCTCTGTTAGATTTCATATTTAAATCTTTGTAAACTTATTCGCAATTATTTTAGTTTCCAAATAAGAAATAAAGTTAGGATTAAGAAATTAGATAATTCTAATGATTGAGACCTTATTGGTAAAACTGTGATAGAGAATAATAAAATTTACCTATTGGTTTCCTCAAGACTTGTCTTTTTGAGCCTTTCACTGGCCTTCGCAAGCCATTGGCCCATCACTAATTCTACGTCTTTGGAAGTAACATTTCTATTGTAGATCTGAACTGCACCTAAAATAAGAGAATATAATATAGTTCCATGTAACAGGCGAGTCCAATATGTATTGTGTGACAAAGTGAATATCATTACACAAACAAGGCGAGTATGATATTCATAGGAGCTAAAAGAGACTTTGCTTACGAATTTCATAATACATATTTTAAAACTGAAATTGTTAACCAAAGCAAGAATAAAATATAAGTATTTTTCACCTTACTGTGAACTGTGTACCTACCTAAAATATTTTCGATGAAATATTTCATATTGTTGTATGCAATCTACAATTTTTTAATTTAAGCATACAAAACAAATTTTATCAAAATTAATATAAAAACATGAATAAGACATGCAGTCACCCAAATTAAGTACACATGTTTCTATAATTTTTTCTTTTTGAAACACAGTTTGGCGTGCCCATTTACAAACTTGTGATGAATAACTTTGGTATTAAAAGTTTGAGTCATATTAGTACTTTACACATAGGGTAGTAGAAAAAAAGTATATTACTTGTTATTACAAATAGAAAAATAATTAAATACCTATAACTGCTCTGAAGCAGGTTGTTTTAGAAAAGGACGTTTTTCCCTTATGTCCATGAATGCTGTACAGCTTGGCAACAGAGTCTGTCATCAGCTGTCTCATTATTCTCCTAATGAGTTCTTTATAGTTGGGTCCCCCTAACCTGCTAAAATCTGTTAGCTGCAAAAACCAAATATTGTAGACCAGGTTTTATTAACAACTATTCAAGAAAAACTTACTAGTAAATTAAATGATGTCTTTTCAGCTATTAATGATTCAATGTACGCAAGTCCATCTGGAGTTGTTATAGGGATTTGATCAAATACCTTCACATCGGTAATTTGTAGTTAATTAATGCTTGTTTACCTTTCCCTGCTCCAAACGAAGCGTCGATGCGTTCTTTTCTGAACTTTAAAACTACACTGAACACTTACACTACGGGTAAATAGAATGAGTTCCATACTCTACCTTTTTTTAATTGTATGCACTAAAGAGAGACGGGAATAGTTCAGAGCAATTATTGTCTGTCAACCGTTGTACGTAATCAAAACAACGTAATTCTTCTTCTTTTTTTTCTTCTTCTTTTTTTGATTTTTACAAGACAGATATAACTGTGTTTTACAACTACTTACAGAACAACTACTGTGCAACTAACTCTTGAGGTATTTCATTTTGAATACATGAGAAGTTAGTCCAAGCCCGCAGATTATGATTGTAAAACTACTATTTTAATATTCCTGGTATATTCCAGGTGTATTCCTGTAAGATCATTCTTACATTATGTATTTCAGATTATTCCTAGAATATACCTTTTGGAATATTCCCAGAGGATTATTACTGTAATAATCATTTGAGCATGTTCAAGGAATAATCTAAAACTAATATTCATAGATTTATCCACCAGCTCATATATATTCCAGGAATATTCTTAATATATTCGGAATATATATATTCTTCTAGGGACACTGTAGGAATGTTCCAAGAATATCTGGTGCTGACTGGGAAATGATTGTCTCCTATCAGTAAGTATGTACTTGTACAAAGAAAAACTCCTTTCGACATCTACAGAAGTAATAGGTGCAAACTTAAATTTTCCTGAAATATCAGGATGAATAGTATTAATATCTTCAAAGTTACCAGAATAAATATTAGCAAGGTTTCTTAAAACAATGAATCATTTATTTTTTAAAATTACATTTGAAAATTTATGAAAAATCGTCTTTCCAATACCGCTCTGGACATTTTTACACTCTGATTCAAACGTCTTAATTAAATTTACGGAAGTCACCAACGGTAAATTTTTTTGTTCCAAATCTAATATAATTTTGGGTTCAAATGCATAATTTTTTAAAAACACTAATTGCTTTGGTAATATGTGATTTTGAAACAACTTCTTTGTGTTAGATATTCCCTTAGATGAATCATCAAAATCAAATATGATTTCTTTAATTTTTTTTATAATTATCTGCGTAAAAAAAGGCAGCTTTAAGCCAGGTACCCCACCGAGTAATCACAGGTTCCGGTGGCATCTGTAATTCAGGAAATTTTTCTTTGTACAATTGAGTTCTTAGAGGAGCTTTAAAAAATAAAAGGAAAGTTAGACCTAATTTCTTCTGCAACTTTGTTAAGGCCATGAGCCAAACATGTAACATGGATTAAGTTTTCATAAAACATTTTTAAATTTTGTGCGACTTTTACCATGTACGGGGCAGCATCGGATAACAGCAATAAACATTTTTCTGTTGAAACGGCTTCCGGAAGAAAAAAGGAAGACAATTCTGCCTAATAAAACGAGTTATTGTCGTTATTTGTTTTATCTAATTGCTTTGAAGCGATTAGATATGGACCAATTTGCATTTCTTCGCGTAATGAACCTATCATTAAATGGGCTATATATTGACCACAAGAGTCTGTTGTTTCATCCACAATAATGTGAAAATGGTTTCCAACAGGGAAAAGTTAATCCTTCAAAATTTTAGGAAATCGACCTGTAAAGGCATTTCACAAAATATTATTTTGGTCCAAAACTCATAATTTTAATATGTCCAGCCAATTAGTA